CTCCATTTCTGTCATGTTTTTTTGTCTCCGCATTTTTTATGCTTTCTTGGTGCACCCCCTAGTGGTCTTTGTGCGCAGTCTTGTTCTAGTTGAGCCTTGATTGTTGTAGTTAATAGAAGAGGGATTTGACCACCAGGCCGACTGGCTGTGAGAATCAGCTGTGTCTGCCGCAGGAAAACTTCTGTCCTCTGGAGAGGTAATCTAGCCACAACCGCGCTCTCAGCCACCAGCCCGCTTTGCGCGCGCACCTCCGCACCTGAGTTTTTTCCACACTGCGCCTCCTCTGAGCCTCGGTGTGCTGTTATTTTTCCTTCTAGTTGAAGAGTCTCTCCTCAGCCAGCCTTCCTGTGGTTCTGGGTGATGTCCGTTCCGTCTTTTAGTTGTATTTTTGAAGTGGTTGTTTGCGGCAGCAGTCTCCGGTGTTTACCTATGCCGCCATCTTGCTCGGAATCTCTGTTCTTACTTTTCAAAGTTGTTTTGAGTATGCTAAGTCTTTTGCATTTCTGTATGAGTTTTAGAATCAGTTTGTCAATTTTTACAAAAAGGCCTGCTAGAATATTGACTGGGATTGCATTGAATCTGTAACGAATTTGGGTAGAATTGGTATCTTAACAGTATTGAGCTTACTGATCCATAGCACTTCATGTATCCCCACACGTTTAGATTTTTAAAAAATTTCTCTTAGCAATAGTCTGTAATTTTCAGTGTATAGAACTTGCACATCTGTCATTACATTTATCCTTAAGTGTTTCTTGGTCTTGATGCTATTGTTATGGTAATTTTAAATATTTAAATTTATGGAAGAGTTTGTATGGAATTGGTGTTATTTCTACCTTAAATATTTAGTAGAACTTTCCAGTGAAGCCATGTAGGCCTGGAGTTTTCTTTGTGTGAAGTTCTTAAACTAAAAATTCACCTTGACCGGAATCGAACCCGGGACCTTTCAGTCCGCAGGCTGACGCTCCATCCACTGAGCCAAACCGGCTTCGGCATGTTGTTTTGTTTTTTTTAATGCCGTCTTCATTACTGTAACTTAGTAAGTGCTCAAGATCAGGTGGTATGAATCCTCCAGCTTTGTTCTTACTTTTTTTTATTTATTAAATCTTTATTGTTCAGATTACATTTGTTCCTCTTTTTTTTCCCCCCCATAACTCCCCTCCTCCCAGTTCC